AAAAAAAATATCGAAATTAATTTATATCTTCTAAACGGTAATAGATAGGTATAGGGAAATAGTATAAGAATTTGTTGACAAAGTGATAATGAATCATAATATGATATTATATACGGGGTGTTCCATTTGAGAAATGAAAGAAGCCGCTACTTTATAGTAGAAGCGACAACGCCGCTTCGTCTAAAATATTTTAGGCGTGTAGGTCATATTGACTTATGTATACTATGGAATTTTCAGGTTGATCCGTCGAATAGTTTGCCAGAAACGGCTTATTAACGCTCATCATGAAAAGCCCTGTATTTATTGTTATAAATGTACAGGGTGGGACACCAAAAACGAAACAGATCGAATATCTTCAAAACACATGTGTTCTGAAAAAATGCAAAAACACGTTGATTTGTAATCCAAGGGGGACATCTTCCTATCATAACCTCAACTGTCATACCTCTTCCCCCACCCCTCACTGACTATCACCCAAACAATTTGAATAGAAAAAGTAGTAACTGTGACACATCGTTTAAAAGGTAATTCTATAAGGAATTCAGCCATGTCAATTTTAGCTACCTAACTTTCGATTTTGGCGCCTTCTTGCTGGAAAAAAAACTGTTCCGTATTCCAAATTATGATGCTTCATTCGCAAGCTAATTTTATATAAATTTGGTGACAATACATTATGGAGTTTTTCTAGGGGAAAAAGCAAGATGGCGGCTCCACAATATCGGACAAGGTTTGCAATTATGATCCGATTTGATTCAAAATTGATAAGTGGTGGTTTTCAGGGTCGGAAATTATGAATTGTTTTTCTGTGCAAAAAATCAAGATGGTGGCTCCAAAATGGCGGACGAAACTTGTAATTATGGTTCGATTCAACCCGACATCGAAAACGAATTCTTCAAAACACATAAGTTGTGAACATAATGCAAAAACACGTCAATTTCAAATCCAATTCACGAAAAAAGAACAACAATTCAAAAAATTACGTATTTCAATCATCGCAAACTACTTTAATTCACAGTAGATGCTCAAAGTGTTCGCCATGAACTGCCATAAATGAGTATAACTTATTTTCGAAACGCCGTCTGACGTTTTTGAGCATTTCTGAAGTTATTCAATGACATTCGTACCTTTGGGATAACAATTGACTTACTACGCCTATGTATTGGTATAATAAAAAACATTTTTCAGTGCTTATTTGTGTCAGTTTCTTGGCAGTAGTACGTCAGGTACATTAACGAGTGAAATAAAAAATAGTTTATTCTATTCAGGATAGGGTAGAAATAATTGAATATCATTTCAAAAACAATGCATGTGCCAACAAAGCCAGTGGGATTTTCAATGAGCAGCACCCAAACAAAAACGTACATCGTAAATACGTTTTGGAACTAATGTCAAAATTTCGACAAACGGGATCTGTGGCAAATGAAACATGTCAAATTGAAAATCCAGTAAGGAACGAAGCAGTGGAGGTAGCAGTTTTAGGACAGGTTGCTGCGGATCCAACTCTTGGTACACGATAACTTGCCGAATTATCTGGAGTAAGTCGATGTAACGTCGGGCGAATTTTGAAAGCTCACAAATTCCATCCATACATAAATAAACTGGTTCAGGAACTTAACGAAGACGACTTTGATCGTCGAATACCATTTTGTGAAATCATAAGTGAACGAGCTATACCTACAAGATCCAAATTTCATTTTCAATATTTGTTTTTCGGATGAATGCAGTGTTCATCTCAACAGGATTGTCAATCGACATAATTATCGGTACTGGTCAGAATGCAATCCAAAGAGTGTTTCACCAAGTACATACGCAATCCCTACAAAAATTGAATGTTTGGGCTGGAATATTTGGCGATCGTATTATTGGTCAATTTTGTCACCGAATTTATGTCAAGTTACCTTGCGAATGAAGTATCATAATTTGGAATACGGAACAGTTTTTTTTTTCCGCAAGAAGACGCTAAAATCAAAAGTTAGGTAGCTAAAGTTGACATGGCTGAATTCCTAATGAAATTACCTTCTCAACGATGTGACACACTTACTACTTTCCCTATTCAAATTGTATGGGTGATAGTCACCAAGGGGTGGGGGAAGAGGTATGACAGTTGAGGCAATGATAGGAAGATGTCACCCTTGGATTTCAAATCGACCTGTTTTTGCATTTTTTTCAGAACACATGTGTTTTGAAGATATTCGATCTGTTTCGTTTTCGGTGCCCCACCCTGTATATGAGAACGTGAAGATTCTGGCCGTCCACAAAGGTCAGAGTGTATTTTATAATTTCACACAAGTTCCACAACTACATATTCTTCTACTGTGTGCCTACCCATGATTCCGATAATTTAAAAAAAATTATGTTGGTAATAACTCGTCAGGTGGTAATAACTCGTCATATTTTATGAAAAAAAAAAACAAATAAACGTGTGTCTCAATTTGCTTCATTTAAGAGTCACAAGGTGTCACAATTCCACTAAAAATATTTTTATTTCAATATTAACCCAACCCAACATAACACACCACCGTCCGAAAATTGAACAAAAACCGACTACAATTTTTCCAAGCACTTCGATAACTTCCCCATCGGTAGAACCTTTGCCAATCAAGAACAGGCAGAAATTGCCTTCGTCGACTTCATCGAATCCCCGTCACACAACTTTCATGCTGATGAAATTGGTCGACTTGTGTTATGTTGGCAAAAGTGCACTTACTCGGTTAAATTGAATAAGTATTCACTGAGATATTGAAATAGACCAATGAAAACGGAAAAAACTTCTGAAACAACGTACTACTGGTTCCTTTACATCATTGTATATAGTGAACGCCTGATTGAAAATAACTACTTGACTGAATTATTGAATTATTTTCAACCGATGTTTGTGAAAATTTCCTCAACGACGTTCCAGGTTTGTCCTCCCATGCCCCCTCCCGAGTTGAGTGCCCTGAAGTAGAAGCTTCCCCCCAGCTATTTAGCGGGGAGAACCTACTAATCCACTCCATCCACCCCCGCTGTCGCCAAAATTCATCAAATGATCACTTATAGTCTGATTACGGAGAGTTATTCTTCGAAAGTGTGGGACAAATCAGACTGAGTCAGTTTTGCCGCCTACTACTCTCCTAAATACTTCTGATGAAGATGGAACCGTTCAACAATTATGATATCATTCTGTACACCAACTTCCGTTGTGATTTCAGCCAGGAATATAGCTGTTTTCTGACACCAAATTCTACAATGTAGAAAAACTAAAAGAGGTGAATGTTCCGAGTATCCATTCGCAACATTACATTCTCATCGTTTCTACCTATGTCTATAACAGTTGAACAAATTCGAAGGACAAGATACCTACTGGGGATTTCCGGTAAATGATGTTGCGTTCTCAACCATTTTGAAATCGTCCTGACATCTTCTTCAAGTTGTTTTTCTGTTTTATCGTACTTTTTCAAAGCTTTTTCTAGAACCTCTCCTTTATTTGCTGTCAACCATTTTTCAATATCAGTCATTTTCCTGAAAACAATTTCACTTAAAATATCAAAATCTTTTCACATTCCGAGTTCAAAACTTTCTGCACAAGTGATAACAAAATCTCAAATTATCAGAAATTACTATTACAGAACGTGATAAATCAATGTCTCACGATTTATCAGCATTTACTAAGGAAACATGAGATTTAATTTTGAACACAGCTGCTCGAACAACATTTACACATTATGTATAAAAATCAAAGGTGTGTACATGAAAATTTAATTGTATTGCAAAAAAAATGATGAAATGAATTGAAAATGCCAACAAAAGCGACTAACCTTTCACTGAATCTCAATCACAACTAATTCTATTTATCAAAATACTGATCAAGTCTATATCACTTTTTTTTCTAACTTTTTTTAAACCGAATGTTATCAAAAGAGTGTGCCAATGACTTGGTAATTGGAAACGAATTCAACAGTGAAGTATAATTACCAGTACACAAATCATTGATAATACTAGTTTAATTGTATTTCTCAGTGATACAGGGTGTCTCAACTAATAATCCCTCCAGTGAATAACAACGAATCAAGCAGCCTCACAAGAAAATGAAGTAGACGTCCAGGATTGGGTCCACAATTTGAGAGGATCTCAAAATCAATGAATGTGTTCCAGCAGAAAATTTACTGAGAAGTATTATTCAGTAGAAAACCAAGAACCAGGAATCCAGCTCTATATAGCAAAGACGCAAATGGACAAAATATCTTCAATGCATGAGTTCGAGTTGCAAACCGATAGTCAAAATGATATTTTCAAATTCAAATTCAAAAAAAAGTTGCCAGTGATTTTGCATGATTGTGATGAAATTTTTACCCCGGTCATTGAACAATCTCGTCTCTTTTAAACCACTACTTGTAGAAGGAAAATGTAGGTTAATGATATTTTCAAATTTGAAGCAAAGAAAAGTTGCCCAGTGATTTTGCATGATTGTGATGAAATTTTTACCCCGGTCATTGAACAATCTCGTCTCTTTTAAACCACTACTTGTAGAAGGAAAATGTAGGTTCATTATTATGATTTCAAAACGGTATATCCGAATGTGGATTCGAACGTAGAAATAAATTCAAAACAACCCCAAGACTATACTGAACAGAACAAGAGCATTTGATCTGCATCGATCAAAACATTGTTGCTGATATAGGTATTAGAAGGAGAGATTATGATCAATGTCTACATACTAAATAAATATAGTTTGAAAAAGTGAAAACACCCTTTTAAAGAACATTGAACTGAAAAGTAATTTTTTTTTAAATAAGCTTAAAACAATAACGAACGAAAAATAATGGGATTATTGTAAAAAAAAGCGATGGCCGCTTGATATACAAAAAATATGGCACAAAGCGCTCACGCTTTTTTCACAATAATACTAGTATTAATCGTTCGTTATTGTTCTAAGTTTGTTAAAAATAAACGTTTTCAACTTTTCAGTTCGATGTTCTCTGAAAGCGTGTTTTTTTAACAATATTCATCAATAAAGTTTCTTCTTTTAGATTGATTTGACAATAACTTCTGTTTAAAAGAAATCTGTTAAAAATATGTTTTTCCGTTAACCAGCTGTCGCACCCCTACGAACGACAACCCTCAGAAGTCGAAACATGTGCGAGCTAAGGATTAACAAGGTCTTACCTTTTAACTCGTGATTCCTAACACGTGTTGTACGATAGCAAGTGAAAATCGATCGTTCAGACTAGGGCTTGAACCACCGACCAACATGGCAGTCAATTCGAGCGAGTGAACAAAGCACCCGCTTCGAGCCGCCTGGCCACCGACCGCTATTTTCTTAGTTGTTCCTTTGCTTTTATTTTTCAGTATAGTCAGAAAAGTAATATAGCTAGGGAAGTTCCAGCCCAAATTCTCATGTTTTTTTATGATGCTTCATTCTGGCGATTTATGGACCTCAAGTCCAGTTCACACAGAATGGAAGGGACAAAGGCCCGCGCCTCGTCTCTGCCAGACGTCCATTCTGTGTGAATTGGACCTTGGACTTTCAGAGCCCACTCCTGCACTTTTTGTCAGTACGCAGTCGACCAATCAGAAGGTACCGCGCGCACAGCGGAAAATTCAAATCAGCAGATGTACAATGTATGTTCTGGCCCAAAATCCCATGTATTTTCTTATGGAACTGAACTTTTTGCAATTTTCATGATATCCGATCGGAACCTTGTGGAACACCTAACTCGAGGTAAGTGTGTTCCGGAGAGTGAGAGAGAAACGTGTGACGCGATGCAGAGAAGTATGGAACGTCGCCAGCGCAATGACATGTTCGGTGTTGTCGGCTGTGAAGTAAATCGTTGTATTTGGGGCAATGTAGCATTAGAAGCGTTGCCGGTTCAAAATTAGTCATGAACGGTCAGGATATTTTTCCAAGAAAAAAATGAAAGAACTACAGGAGAATCCCTAAGGCAATCTTAGAGTGGTGCCTGTGCGAAAGTACTGATTCACATTGGATTTCAATCGCTGAAGATTACATCCATTTGGAAAAAGTTCTCAGGAAGTTTGTTTTATATAAACGCCGTTTTTCAAATGAAAGATTTCTTCAACAGTGAGGTTGGATATGTACCGCTCTGGGAGGAATCAAATATGCCAAGTCACTTGAGAACTTCCCGTAAAAGTATCTATAGAATAAAGAAAAATCTCCAAATCTTCGATGTTTCAGCCTATCAAGGTAACAAGTGATGTTCACGTCTCCAATCAGCACTATGGCTCTTTTTTGGATGGAATCCAGCAACTTCGGGGTATGTTTGGGGGCAGAACTTCATACATGAGAATAATACTCCAAAGAAATTCTGATCTAAGCTTTATAAAGCATCAAAAGCTGCTGAGTTGTGTACAGTTTTCTGGTACCGAATATTGTTTCAAGCTTTTGAGAAGCGGCTTCTGCAATTCCAGGGATATGATTGTGCCAAGACATATTGGTGTCCATTTTACTCCATAACAAACATATCGAAGCAGAAAGCGAAATTTTCTGGCCTGACTTTATTATATCCGGTTCGGAAACATGCAGACTCTGTTTGCATCATGTAGTAAGTAACCAATAAATCCAACTCTGGGGCTACGTAGCAGACGGACAAACCTAGAAGGCTATGTATCAGGATACAACTCAGTCATCTCCCCAAGTATAGGATTTCTTATGGACGTGCCTTGCACTGAATTATTGAGGTTCGCAAGCCTGCTTCTGCAGAGGAAACAGATGTCTGTGCAGATCAGCAAACGCATACTCTCAAACGAAAAACCCAAGGAAAAACAGTCTAACCTTGCTGAATCTGGTGTACTGACTGGTCAGCTCTTAGATATTCATTATGAATAAGTGAATATGAGTTATATAATAAACAACTACTACTGAGGATGACAGTGTTCCATGTCTTCCATTCAGTATATTGTGTAGGAATCCTGTTAATGATATCTAATTCAATTCCATACTGAATGATTGGAATGCCAACTGAGTAGAGAAAGATGTTTCTTTTATGATTCAGTGTTCATATAAAAATATTTGTTTCGAAAGAATTTTTCTCTCGTATGATTCAATATTTAATGAAAGTAACTTTTTCAGAAGGATTATTTTTTCTTTCTGTTTGTGTCTGAAAGTTTCTTCTTTGCATGATCTGCACATCCATGTATAGAGTTACTTACTTACTTGTAATGCACTGTAGTAATGAATATTACTGAAGTTTGTTGACTGAAGTTACTGTTAACTGATGTGAGGAAGACCCTGCTGACTGTCTGAAATAGTGGTTCTTGAATAAATTCTGCAAGAGATGCTCCTGAATCAGCTCCAACCCGGAGGTCCAATTGGGGAGCTATTTTACCTTCGGAGTATTCAACTCTAGGAGCGCACTGGTCAAACTGGCTCGATTGAACACTCTAATCTTCCTCTTGAATATGATCACTTGGTGATTAAAATACGTGTCGAGTTGTTGGAAATAACGGTTTGGTTTTGGAATTGAACTCCAGTATTCTCCCGGTATAAAACCATACATGATCAATCCAATCCCTCAGCTACATAATAGCTTCAAAATCATCCGTAATAAGAACTGAAGTTGACATATAAGATGATGTGGTTCAGAGTGTCACTGTTTTTCGAGTTTGAAAGCCGTAGATTTTTGGAATTTTTTCCTGACGTTTCGCTGGTGCGAGTGGCTAGCTTCTTCAGAGGTTCAACTATCATGGCTTGCTGTCCGATGACTAACTTTTAGGCTTCGTAAAGCGTATTCAGGCCCTGTCAGGTAATCCGTTGTATTGGTACCTGTACTTGTACCTGCACTTGTACCTTTACTCGAACCTGGAACATTAACAATCTTGCTGCATGTTGTCATTCTGTTCGTTATTCTCGAGTTCCTCAAAATGGGGTTCCATATTCGATTGAGGTTCATCGCTTCTTCTTTTCACGGTATGTGATAGACCCCTACTGCTGATGTGTTTCTTTTGTCTTTTGCCGACCTGAGGCTTTGTTGTATCTTCCTCGTGCACTTGTGGGAAGATGTACATCGGAACCACCAAACGATCCATGGGAACAAGACTGAAAGAGCATGAAAGAAACTGCAGACTAGGCCAAACGGAAAGTCAGCTATGGCAGAACACCCACTTAGTGAAGGATACCACATAATTTTGTTTGAAAATACATAACTAATTGCACATAACCAGGGATACTATAGCCGACACAAACAAACGGAGAATCTCAACAGAAAAAAAAAAGCGGTGAACCTCAATCGAATATGGAACCCCATTTTAAGGAATTCTAGAATAACGAACAGAATGACAACAGGCAGCAAGATTGTTAATGTTCCAGGTTCAAGTACAGGTACAAGAGCAGGTACAAGTACAGGTACAAATACAGGTACCAATAGAGCTGATTACCTGAAAGGCTAGTCATCGGACAGCAAGCCATGATGGTTAAACCTCTGAAGAAGCTAGCCACTCGCGCCAGCGAAACGTCAGGAAGAAATTCCAAAACTCCACGGCTTTCAAACTCGAAAAACAGTGACACTGAATACCTCAGCCGTGAAAGTCTAAACCATTTTGTTATGATGTGGTTCAGTTACTGCTTTTAGAATCGACCAAAGTATAAAAAAAAAGCTTAGATTCCAAGAAGTGAAAAAACTGAAGAATCTAGAAAACTAGCTTCTAATATTGCACATTATTGCAAATTCGACAGTTTTTACGTGACGTTACAGACATGTGATATGAAAATGTCAAGAATGCCTGCAAGATATGTCAATATCCATCTTCATTTCATATTCAATATCTAAGTTCATAAATTATTTCAATTGCCGAATTCACTTAGTCCCCTGAATATTACGAAAGAATCATTTCCATTCCATGTTTTTTTATCGTTCACCTTATCCTCTCGAACGAAAAAGGGAATATTTGA